TGGCTCAGCCTGAGCTTAGCAGCCTCAGTCCTGGCAGAGCTCCACCTGGCAGTTCTCTGTGGATCGCCCTGAACCCAGAGCACACCAGCCTCTGGCGACTGAGGTGGCTTTCGAGAAGGGTACAGCAGAAGCCATGCTTTTGAAGACTGAAATATCTGTATTTGGAGAAAGGTTAAATACAGTTCCAAAAGATAATTCTTAAATTCTTTTTCCCGGTGTGTAGAGGTGAACTGCTTCGCTTGCTTATACAAGTATCTAAAATGGATCGATAATCGCTGTAAGATTTTTTTTTTTTAGCTGCAGAAGGTATCATCGATAGGGCCTTCAATAAACATTTTTCATATTTTTTTACATTTTAGATAAGAGAAGGGGCATCCTGCATTCAGGAAATAGATACGGCTGATGTGTTCACTGAATTCGAGAGGTAAGTAAGTGGGTTCTAGCCCCCAAGTCTGACTCTTCCACTTAGCAGCTGTGTGATTTGTGGACAAATGAATTCAGCTCATGAGCTTCAGGTGCAAATCTCAGCTGCCACAAAGGAAGAATAATGCCAACCTTGCCCATCTCTCTGGGATGTCCCTGTGTAGGGACCACTTACTGTCATCCAGTGGCATCTTCCTCTGTGAGGCAACGGCATTCGGCTTCAGGTTGCGATAGTCCCTGGAGAGTGCAGAGATAAGGCTGGTATGGTTGATGGAGCGCACAGGCCACTGCTGCTCATTCTCCGGGAGGTTTGGCCATGGGAGCAGCAGGATATTAGAGAGGGCTCTACACACCAGCACCTGAGCCTGGAAGAGACCACCCCACCCAAAGGCATCATTATGAGTTCAAAAGCAAAAGACAGCAGAGCAGCCTTGCCTCACACAGCCTTTGGCACCCACTGCACACACTAAACTCAGGCCCCCAGGCTTTCTGAAAAACCTGGGCCTGGGGCTTTGGTTTAACTCTAAGGCAACCCAGGGAGAAAAGAGAAATTGAAGCAATAATACCACGTGTGAGTCTAGCACAACCCAGGGCCAGCCTTAGTAATCAATCCTGGTGCCATTACTTCCCCTCTGATCTGGTTCCTGAAGCATCAAAGGGATAAATCACAGACACTGCATCTAACTAGTCTCGTGGCTGCTGGCTTCTGACACCCTCTGAGGAGCTACTCAGATCAGGGCTGTTAAGAGAACCCTTTACAATGTACCCTCGGCAGCAGGTCAGAAGCAATACAATCACATCCAGATGCTCTTAAGTAATGGCTTTAACTATCCTCTGACCCCAGCCCTGTTTCAATTTTTCTAAACTTCCAGCTTGAGCCTCCTAGGACTTTAAGAGAATATATTTATCTGGAGCATCTCAACCCCCAAAAGAAACAAATATATAACAACAACAAAAAGAAGATTTTAATCAAAAAGAATGCAAGAATGCAAAGACTCTCACAACAGCCAAATTACCAGCCCACAATGCAGCACAATCTGTGTGTGTACTGGGAGGAACTTTCCATGTTAACACACTGTCCACGTAGGGAAGAGCATTACAAGAGAGCACTAAGACTATGTCAGGGCCACCTGTGTTAGAAAGCCATCTATGCTGGCATGGTCTGTAAGGTCTGAGAGCAAAAAGAAAAGCGAGACTCTTCTTCCTCGGGTTCCCTAAGGATGAGCCACATGTCTCTGATGATCCTAGGGTAGCCCTGGGGCCTCACCTTATCAACAAGTCGCTGGGCAGAGGCATCAGTGATTCTGTTGAACACTTTCTGCACTGCGGGGATGCTGATCAGAAAGACAGGCCTCACGGTGGTGGCCAGTGAGACCAGTAGGTGGCATGCAGATAGCAGCAGCTTGTCTTGAACCTGAAGAGGGAAGAGGACATGTCAGCTCACTGCATTCTCTGTGACACTGGTATTAGAAGAACTCTGATGAGGCAGCCATAAGCTAAAGATGGTTCATGGCTGCAAAATTATACTATGTAGTCTCTATCTCAAAGGAGTTTTCCTATGATGCCACTCATCAAAAAGGCATCCTCTTCTTCACCATGTCCAGGACCACCACCTCCAGTTCCTCCTGTTCATAGTCACCGGCATCTTTGAACTGAGTCACTTGTCAGCTCAAGAATCTACGGTGGTTCTCTTCAGCACTTAAATCACACAGCAAACTCCTTGGCATATCATTCAAACACTCTGGGACTGTTCATCTTACTCCTCTTGCTCCAACCAAGCCAAATTTCTCTGGGCCCCCGCTTCACACTCCACTCCATCAATCACGCCAAGCTCTCCTACTTTCTTCACCTTAACATGCCAATCAAAAACTTGATTCAAGTATCATTCTGTCCTTTTCAAATTAACAAAAGAGAAAACTTTTTATAGACAGGACCTAATGCTGGTAAGACTATGGTGAAAACAGCACACAAAAGTCAGAGAGGCACATAAGGATTGTTTAGGAAAGGAATATTACTATATTACTATAATTTCCTACAAGCACAAAATATCCCTAACTTTTAACTCTATAATTCCACTTATTCTAAGAAAATTACCTAAAGAGATTAAGCTACATTAATGAATACACACATTTCAGAAGTATTTATAATGACTTTTGTTTAAATGGTGGCTACTTAGCAATGGCTAGGTAAATTATGAAACTCCCCCCAGGGGATATATGATATCATAACTCATTTACAAATTACAATTAACAAATACAACAGAAATTTATGAAAACAATACATTATCCTGTTTATAGCTGTACAGAATGCTACATATGATTAAAAATTATTTTAAAAAGAAAAACAAGCATCTGTATGCTCTAGCAATATAAACTGGTGGTCTTCTTGGAGGACAACTTAATAGAATCTATCAAAGTTTACATGGATATGACTTTCAACCCAGCAATTCCACTTTCGGGAATCCATCCTACAGGGATCTAATTTCCGTTAATAGGAGAATTATAATACATCCCTACTACAGAATAGTGGGGCAGTTTGAAAAACTGAAGTTGCTCTACCCGTGTAAAAGTCTCCAAAGCACATTGTTAAACAAAAGAATATGTATCTCAAATGATCTACAAACTTTTACTATATATGCAAAAAAAAGAAACATGTTTTAAGGATATACAAGCATATCCTTACAACCACATAAGGATATGCTTACAGTAGAAAGGAAAATGTTTTAGAGGAAGGGTTAAAGAGTACCGTAACTTTTCAGTCTATATAAATTTGAACCACATTTTACTTTTCACAATGAGCATGCATTCATGTAGGACTTAGAGAACTGAAAATATAAAGTTACAGTTGCATTTACATGGGTTACAACTAAAAAGGAACATGAAATGACATAGTTGTATCACAGTGGTAAGAGTTACGGGTCTAATGCTACGTAATATTTTAATTTTATAATAAATGGGTACATGGACAGAAAGACAGACAGAGTTAGAGAAAAGGTGTAGCCCTCGCTGTTTCAAGACCTTGGTGCTGATCAGAGGTGTGACTGCATCCATGGTAGTAGAGATGAGCGTGACAAACTGCTGTGTGTTCTGCCGATGAGCTTCGCTGCAGTACTGTGCTAACCAGTGCGAGTAAGCCTGCAGAGCAGCCAGGGACTGAGCATGCCTGCAAAAAGGAGAAAAGACATGATTCTGAAGGTTAAGGGCAAAGTACACTAGCATTAAATGCGTTTCCATAGGAGGTAAGAATTTCATCCACTGTGTATCCTGTTCCAGGATCCATCTAACAGCATGGAAATCATTTGCTTGCTCATGTAGAACCTAAAAATTGAAACTCGTCATCTAAATATTGCCACCACTGCCTAGAACACAAAGGGCAGTTAGCAAATATCTACTAGAACTTATTCAATCTTTCCGTGACACACGTGAGCTCCCCTGACAGAATGATAAATAAAAAACAGAACAAAAGAACTTCAGTGATAAAATGTTAACTTTGGAATTAGTAAAAAGGTAATATCCAGAGCTGCAGACCAGACTGTAAACAACTGCCAACTTTATAAATAATCTTTGATATCAGATTCTCAATTTAAGCTTCCACCACACCATACATTATATCCAGCTAGGGGAAAACTCTGCAGGTGGCAAAGACTATTAGTTTCTGTCAATTTTGTACTACGTTACACAAGGCAAAATATACTTCATAAAGCTCAGAATTCATCAAAGATAATACATCTTAAAGTGAGGCAGTTGTCTCAGAACTTACAAACAGCAGACCTTCTAATAAACCTAAATGTAATTTCTCTCTTTCCTATAATAAGTAATCTATGGGATGATACTTTGAGACTATGTAAATATACTGTTCCCCAACACACAACACATGGTTTTGTCACCCGTTGAGAATCCCTGCCTAAATCTTTATTACATTGGTAATTGTAAACTGGTCATTTTTCTGTCTTTACTGTTCACTACCTGGTACTGTTCTGTAAAAAAGCTTTCCCTCTCCTACCTTTTAAAAATCATTACAGATGCATGGATTCTTATCCTCAATGTTGTAATTAATTATCACCCTTATTCTTTATGAGTAAAGTGTCAAGTCTGGCCAGGAAAAACCCTTTCAAGCTAGTCTCTGTGTCCTTTTCGTACGTCCCTAACATTCCTTAGTGACACAACAAAATTCTCCAGTATCACCCTGCCCCAAACTTGGAGCATTTCTCCAAAGAGCTAAAAAGATTTAGTGGAAAATGTACTTTAGAAACCAAAGGCCTAGGTACTAGGGTTGGTGTTGCTTCTGACTGTCATTGCTTCTAGTACCTTTCAGAAGATAGCACTAGGCAGATACCACTTTATAATCAAAGTCAGCATCAACAATTATAGGACGAACTGATCTCAAGGGCCTCCAGACATGGTGCAAGAGGAAGGACACACCACCACCTATGTAGCATTTTTGCTAAAAATGTTTCAACACAATCTAATAGTATAGTAGAGAAACAACTAGACAAATCCAGATTTTTAAGATTTGCTTTAAAAAAAAAAAAAATTCAAGGGCTAGATCTCCAAAAGGTGTCTCTTTCTCTCCCTCTTCCCATTCCTCTTCCCCACAACATGCATAACTGGGAGAACGGTTCTAGATTATCAGACAAATTTAATTTGTGATTCATAATTAGTTAGGCTTTGGATCCTAGTGTGTGTGAGTGTGTAAATATAAAAGACGTTCCTGGGACAACTGGGGTAATATGAATATGGAATATATATACATAGATACGTGTACTGTGTGTACACTCTCTCTTTAAAATACTAGATATTACTCTATCCATGAAAATTTGGGTATTGATAATGGTATTTACATAGGAGAATGACCTTGTAGGAGATATATACTGAAGGATTTATTGGTGAAGTGACATATTGTCTGCAATTTATTTTCAAATAGTTAAACACAAAAAATGTATGTGTGTACACAGAGAGAAAGCACAAGAAAGGAGCAAATATGGCAAAATATTTATAATTGACACGTCTAGCTTAAGAGTATAAGGATGTTTATTATATCCTCCTCCTTTTCTACAGGTTTGAACTTTTTCAAAATAAGAAGTTGGGTAAGAAAAGGTACTAAGTACCTTAAAGAAAATAGAGATATTGAGGGTTTAAAATTCAGTGACCAGGCAGTTATTTTGTATTTTACATTTAGAATCCATTGATCATTTTACCCTTTATTTAGGTTCTGAGTACCAAAAGGAGGAAGGACATTTAGAGTCTTAAGAATTTCACTCAATCTACCAAATTTATAGAGCTTCTTAAGGCTGAAGGGACTCTAAAACTTCCTGAAATTGTGTGCAAGATACTGTGTTATCAGGCAAATTAGCATCTTTCTCAGAAGCTTCACAGCTTTCTTTAAATTCTCAAAAAGAAAAGCAATATTTTAAAAATGTAAGCCACCATATTAAAAAAGATTCTATCATTTATCTAATTTGCAGCTCGAGAATGCTCCAGAACAGGGGTCAGCAGACTTTTTCTGTAAAAACCATGTAACTATTTTAAGCTTTGCAGGCCATTCACTCTGTCACAACTATTCAACTCTGCCACTGTAATGCAAAAAAAGCCACAGACAATATGTAAATGAATGGGCACCCACTTGTTCTAACACAACAATATTTACAAAAGCTGGCAGTGGGCCAGAGATTTGGCACAGGCCATCATTTGCCAAACCCCGCTCTAATCCAGAAGCAAGCCTTCTGGGCAGTGTGATCTCTGGGATACGGCCCTATCTCCAGTCCCCATTCCTCTATCCCTTCCATATGTCACTTTCCTAATGGTTTCCAAATGTCTATAAAGTTTCTCAAAGTGTGGTCCCTGGAAGTCCTGCTTCAAAATCACCTGAGGTTTACTATGCAGCTACCCAAGCAAGCCTTGTGCCATCTCCTATAATCAGATTATCTGAGGGAATGTGTACCCCAAGTAATTCTTCTGTATGGCACAACATCAGTCACTGGTCCACAGAATAAGATTCATGGCATTCAAGGTGTTTTCACTTTGGTACCAACACACTATCCAGCCTCATCTTCCACCATACAAATTGCTCACCATCTCCCTGTGTGACTCCGCAACACTTGGCTTGTGCTGAAATTCCTCCTGAAGTGCCTACTCCATGTGCCCTCTGCCCCTAGCTCTCACCTGCCTGATGAATTCCACTTCCTCCAAACACTCCTGACCCCAGGCATACAATCAACCCTTCTCTTTCTAGGTTTAGATGTGGGAGTTTTTCTCCTCTTTATGGCAGCCACTACCACTCCTTTTTATTTATAAAATTATTTGGGGCTAGAAATCAAAGTCTTTCCTGAGAATATACAAACATCTAACTCTATACTTACACATCAATGAGATCAGGTTTCAATACTGATGGTACAGCAGTTTCAATATTGTACAATTTTATCTGAGATCCATACAGAGTGACTTTGACCAACCTGTTGGCAAGAGTAGGTAAGAAAAAACATTCAGCTTATGGACCAAAATAAGACAAAATAGACAAGGTAACAAAAAAGGTACAAAGAATAAAAACCACACTTTCAATCTTATCCCAAAGATATAATCTGAGATGTGCATAAAGATTTATATACAAAGGTACCAACTAAAGCATTACTTATAGTATCAAAAATTTTTGGAAACAATATAAATGTCCTTACATTTTAAGTATATGAGTTTATGAGCAGGGAGTTGGGCAGACCAGGTAGTATAAAATGGTCCTCAACAAATTCAGCTACAAACCCTAAGGGAACTGAGGGGAAGAAGTAATGAAAGCAGTTTGGTGGTGGAAAGCCTGGGAACTACCTGTCATGTCAGGCTTGGAGGCGGCCCAGCTTTAACGCCTTAGGATCCTAATAGGACTAGAAAAACCAGACCTATTAAAACAGGACTGGGAAAAGCCCTACCTCTGACATCTGGCTGCCTACTTGGATAGTGCCTGCTGCCTGCTCGTCTGTCTTTTTATTAGTTAACAGGGTTCTCCTACTGTCTATCCTATCAGTAAAGACATGAAGACTGACCTCACCTGGTTCCTTCTCAGGCTAATCTTGTCTTTTTTAAAACTATATATAAGATCTTCGATAAAAACAACGGCTTCTATTTATTGTTTGCTACATGCTAAGCCCTGTGCTAAGTGCCTTGTCTAATTTAATTCTCCCAATAAAACTACAAGATACTGTCCACGCCATTTTGCAGATGAGGAACCTGAACTTCAGAGAGGTCAAGTAACTGCTCCATATTCACCTAGACATGAAGAAAGCCTCAATTTACGTAGTGCCCGAGCAAAAGCTAGCTGGCATGTCGATATGCTGGCCCTCAAAATAAGAAGGTGCGACCGAGCTCAGAGGGAATGGCTCCATGATGTTAACTGCCAGCCTACCTCTCCACCACTGTGAGGGCAT